AGCTCTACTCATCCCCAGCAGACACCATCAACAAGCTCTACAGTCTTGATACCCTGAATTACCCAAAACACATCATTGACTGTATTGATTCATCCATTGATGAGCTCTACTCATCCCCAGCAGACACCATCAACAAGCTCTACAGTCTTGATACCCTAATATGATGGTTAAGTGGAGATAAGGTCTACACTATGGTGTACTTGCACTACGGAATCTAGTGTTGGTTCTTAAACTCTGGGAAATTCAGCATCAACTTAGTGATTGCACTTAATACTATTTTTTAAATAGAGCAGAAAGTTCCCTATGATTTTAGATGTTGAAGTAATTTAACTTTAATATCAATTATCATGATTTAAATAGTAGCAGGTACAGTAGAACAACCTCCATGAGAGGCCACCTCTCTACAAAGGACAGTTTTCGTTTGCAAAATTACCATTTTTACAATTTAGCAACTCTCTGGTAAGAGGACACCTCTCCCTAAAGGACACTTTGGCTCTGATATTAGGTGTTGTCCTATACAGGGAGGTTCTGTATTAGGTGATCATTAGGTTTATTTTATTGAAGAAATGTGACTTGCTCTGAACATTTGTCAGTACAGGGTGAACCACAGCAGGTCCTGCACAAGTGAGGTATTACCGAGGAGGGTCTGTCGTCTGTGTCCACCGACATGCACTTGGCTCGCTCCCTCTCCTGGGATCTCTTCACTTCCATCCTCTTCTTCAGTGTGGAGTTCCAGTGGTTCTTGATGGCATTGTCCGTTCTGGGCACATAGCACTTAGCATGGAGGACTCAGCAAATTAATAAAACTTGCCCCTAAGTTATAATACACATTCATACACCTGACTTATATTTAATAAAATCTACAAGCAATCCAGGGTTAACTTTCTATTTCTCTAGCTTTCAGGCAAACATGTCCTTCAACAGGAGAACTAGACTTCCATACATGGTGTATAGAGTTAGCTGGAAGTCATACTTCTCCTGTTGAAGGACATGAAAGGGTCTGAAAGGGCCTGAAAGCTAGAGAAATGGAAATAGTAACAGAAACTTAACCCTGGATTGCTTGTAGATTTTATTAGATTTGGTTCATCAGGAGGGTTGGTGGAAGGATGATCTAAACTGTTGGTTTTCGACCGCTACGACCCAGGTTTGATTCCCGCATTGGGTACTTTTTTCTGATTAAAAAAAATGCTCCAATGGCCCCCGTTTCTTGCAAAAGTCCAACCCCACCAGCGAGTGCAAGTAACCAAACAGGGCTTTGGCACATTTGTAAGTGCAAAGTCGAACTGCTTTTCACATGTGTAGACATGTGGTGCACTTACAGTAAAAGCAGTCGCCTACTTCTACCCACCATGATTATCATGGTCTGTACCACGTGTACTAGGGATAAGCAAAAAAAAAAAAATTAGATATGGTTGTAACACCAGTAATAAGAGTTTTTTTTTTTTTTTGCTTATCCCTAGTACACGTGGTACAGGCCATGATAATCATGGTGGGTAGTTAGCGACTGCTTTTTACTGTAAGCGCACCACATGTCTATACATGTGAAAGCAGTTCGACTTTGCACTTACAAATGTGCCAGAGCCCCGTTTGGTTACTTGCACTCGCTGGTGGGGTTGGACTTTTGCAAGAATCGGTGGGCCATTGGAGCATTTTTTTTTTTTTTTTTTTAAACAGAAAAAAGTGTCCAATGCGGGTTCGAACCCGGGTCGTAGTGGTCGTAAACCAAACGGTTTAACCAGCCTTCCACCGACCCCCCAGTAATAAGAGTGATGAGGATTAGAAATGGGAACATTCTGGTATAATAATTCTGGTTCCATAGAACCGGAGAGCTGAGGCCTCATTCATTGAATTACATCTCGGCCAATTTTGTTGTTGAAAGAAGTCCATATATATACTCCAGGTGTTTACCTTCCAGGAAGCAGCTTGGCAATCTTGGCCCACTGGTTGCCCAGCTCGCGGTGGGCACTGCAGATGATGTCTTCCTCCTCCGGCTGCCAGGCAGACTTCTTGATCTTGGGGTTGAGGTGGTTGTGCCATCTGGTGGACAACACCATTACTGTCTGTTGTAACTCTCACCATGGCACACTTTGATGAAAGTCTGACTAATTTGAGGCCATTCCTAATGTTGGAAAAGAAGACGTCCGAAGCAGCCAATGGGAGGCCGGCGGAAGCAGCTACGGGGATGCAGCGGCAAAAATGAGAAAACAATACAAGAAGAACTTGTAAACAACTTTTTCGAACGCTAGAATTTGCCCTGATCTCCGATTCTTTTAGTGTAAATGTTTAAATAATACTTTACTTATTTTCTTAAATTGTAATAAATATAATTTTCCCTCTGTTTTCGTCGTATATTTTAAAAGTGTTATAAACAACGACGCCTTAACTTTGAACCTTCAACCCCGCCGACCAAGAATAGAGGTGAGTGACTACCTCTATAGAATTTAGATCGTCGTCACAACACAGAGTGGCGGTGAAATCGCAATACCTAACATGGAAGTCTTTACTGCCGACTCAGAGTACAGACCTCCATATCCCTGGAGAGGAACCCTTGCTGATATCTATCAACAGGGTCAGTTGAACTCAGGATTTTTAAAGAGGTCTTTAAAACTCCACCTTGCCAGTCCCAAGCCCGGATAAAAAAGGAGGAGGGGGGGGCAGTAACAAGCTCACTAAAAAACCTGGGCTCAGCTGGCTCGGCTGATAATACCCTGTAAGGGTACCCTGGGATATAGGATGAGCAGTGTCTGTACTCCATGTTAGGAGCGGCTGCATATGGCATCTGTTCCTCATGTCAGAGGCGGCCATTTCATATTGGAGCTAAGTCGGCCTGCTACTGAGTAGTGCTCCCAGTCTTAATGACAACGGCAGACACATTCTACTTCACCTAGTCATGATGGTTTTCATGCTCTACAGACTTGATACCCTAATATGATTAAGTGGAGGTAAGAAAGAAGACGTAGATATCTGTCGTTTATTTCTATCACTTGCGCAGATTACACAAATGCCAAGAATATAATGGGATGTAGGGGTGCAGCTTTCATTGATTTTGGCACAATGTTCCAAGTACACTTTGGTGAAAGTCTGACTTTGCCTGTAGTTTGAGGCCATTCCTAACATGTAAGTCTTTACTGCCGACTCTAACATGAGTACAGACACAGCTCCTACATATTCCTGAAGAGGAACCCTTGCTGAGGTCTATCAACCGCATCAGTTACACTCAGGATTTCTAAAGATGTCTTTCTCCTCTTTCTACCCAATGACTGTTTATTAGTCAGATCACAGGATATGTAACCCAGTAGACTACCTACCTCTCCCTGCACTGCTTCCCAATCCTGCCATTGAGCTGCTTAGCAATGAGGGTCCACTTCTTGGGTCCGTAGAGTTCCACCAGTCTCATCACCTTCATGTCCTCCTGCACCACAGAACACCTCTGTTGTTGTTGATAAGGCACAATTTGGATTATAGATTATAAACACAAGGTAATAAGACCAAATCCAAATAAATAAATAGTGTGTGATATTTCTGTAACAGCGTTGTTACCATCTTCAGACAAAAGTACTAAAGAACCATTTAGTACTTCTGTCTGAAGATGGTAACAACGCTGTTACCGAAATGTCACACACTATTCATTTATTTGGCTTTATTACCTTTTTTTTTTTTTGCTTATCCCTAAGTATACATGGTACAGGCCATGATAATCATGGTGGTTAGAAGAAGGAGACTGCTTTTACTGTAAGTGCACCACATGTCTACACATGTGAAAAGCAGTTCGACTTTGCACTTACAAATGTGCCAGAGCCCCGTTTGGTTACTTGCACTCGCTGGTGGGGTTGGGCTTTTGCAAGAAACGGGGGTCATTGGAGCATTTTTTTTTTAGATAATAAAAAAAGTGTCCAATGCAGGGATCGAACCCGGGTCGTAGCGGTCAAAAACCAATGGTTTAGACCATCCTTCCACTGACCCCCGCTTTATTACCTTATGTTTATAGTCTATAATCCAAATTGTACCCTATCAAGAATTTTACTGTATTTTGCTAAGCTTCAAATACAGTAGAACCTCCATGAGAGGACATTCATGCTAAAGGACACCTCTCTTCAAAGGACAGTTTTCATTTACAAAATTACCATTTTTACAATTTATCAACTCTCTGGTAAGAGGACACCTCTCCCTAAAGGAAACTTTGGCTCTGCAACTAGGTGTTGTCCTTTACAGGGAGGTAGTTCTACTGTAATATAGTTAGCAGAAGTGTATTTTATACCTTTGGAAGGTGGTCTTTCTTCTTTCTTATCTCAACCATAATGACTGGGTGAAGTAGAATGCCTTTGTCATTAAGACTGGAAGCACTACGGTAATAGCCTACAGCATCTGGTGTTCCCAGGTGGTCACCCTCCCAAGTACTGACCGGGCCCGACATTGCTTAACTTCGGTGATCGGACGAGAACCGGTGATTTCAATGTACCACCAGGTACCACCGGAAGGTGGTTTAATCTGGCAATATCTGATGAGGTACAATTTGGATTATGAATAAAGATCACAAGGTAACGAGAGACCAAATATAAACACAAGGTAATAGGACCAAATACAAATAAGTAAATAGTGTGCGACGTTTTGGTAACAACGCTGTTACCAAAACGTCACACACTATTTACTTATTTGGATTTGGTCTTATTACCTTGTGTTTATTTGGGTTTGGTCCTATTACCTTGTGTTTATAATCTAAAATCCAAATTGTGCCTTATCTAGAGGCCAAATATGTTAATTATGTATAAGTGAGGTATTCAATACTCTGTCTCAAGATGGTTGCTACTGAAAGGTCACTATATTGATTTGGTATTGTTAGCTTGTGATAATTTTTTTTTTTGCTAATCCCTAGTACATGTGGTACAGGCCATGATAATCATGGTTGGTAGTTAATGACTGCTTTTACTGTAAGTACACCACATGTCTACACATGTGAAAAGCAGTTCGACTTTGCACTTAGAAATGTGCCAGAGCCCCGTTTGGTTACTTGCCCTCGCTGGTGGGGTTGGACTTTTGCAAGAATCGGGGGCCATTAGAGCTTTTTTTTTATCAGGAAAAAAGTGCCCAATGCGGGAATCGAACCCGGGTCGTAGTGGTCGAAAACCAATGGTTTAGACCAGCCTTCCACCGACCCCCCCTTGTGATAATGAAATTGCCATCAAGATTGGACACACACACAGGGTACAGTACCTCCTTGGTCCAGGGTCCTTTGATAAGGCTGGGGTCCACCACCTTGTGCCATCGCTGCTGACATTGGATCTCTGTCCTGTCCGGGAAAGCCTCCGCAATAAATTTCCAGGAGTTGGTGCCCAGGGAATGCACCAAGTCCTTCAGCTGGTCATCCTACAGAACACGGGGGGGGTGACATCAGTATTCAGTGGGAAGGACACAGAGCACCTATGGAGGGACACAGAGCACCTATGGAAGGACACAGAGCACCCATGGAAGTAGACAGAGCACCTATGGAAGTACACAGAGCACCTATGGAAGTACACAGAACACCTATGGAAGTACACAGAGCACCTATGGAAGGACACAGAGCACCTATGGAAAGACAGAGCACCTATGGAAGGACACAGAGCACCTATGGAAAGACACAGAGCACCTATGGAAAGACACAGAGCACCTATGGAAAGACACAGAGCACCTATGGAAGTACACAGAGCACCTATGGAAGGACACAGAGCACCTATGGAAGGACACAGAGCACCTATGGTAAAGACACAGAGCACCTATGGTAAAGACACAGAGCACCTATGGTAAAGACACAGAGCACCTATGGAAAGACACAGAGCACCTATGGAAGGACACAAAATACCTATGGAAGTACACAGAGCACCTATGGAAGTACACAGAGCACCTATGGAAGTACACAGAGCACCTATGGAAGGACACAGAGCACCTATGGAAGGACACATAGCACCTATGGAAGTACACAGAGCACCTATGGAAGGACACAGAGCACCTATGGAAGTACACAGAGCACCTATGGAAGTACACAGAGCACCTATGGAAGTACACAGAGCACCTATGGAAGGACACAGAGCATCCCTGGAAAGACACAGAGCACCTATGGAAGGACACAGAACAAAGGAAAGAACAAATGTCAGTATTTGATACTGATACTTTGGCACAAAACCCAAGATAATCGAATAAAAGACAAGGAGAGATCAAATATGCAACATAAACCCGCTGAAAGAAGAAAAACAATGACAAGACTCAGAATGAAACATTATAAAGGAAACACAGGAACCTACAAGACATGTAATCCTGGTGTGGAACCTACCCACATATTCTCATGTGCAGCAATGGCCTTGCAGAAAATTGACATGGACCCAGAACAGCAGCTCCACATACCCAAGATAGAGGACATTGCAACTACTGAGATTTACGGAGACATCTAAGGCTTTTCATTGGACACAATAACAGCAGAGTATCAAAAAAAGTGATTCTACTGAAATGACAATGTATAGTAGACAGGTCTTGTTACCTCTTGATTTGTCATATACAACACAAGAAAAAAAGACCTAATCCAAATAATTTATTAGTGTGTGACGTTTCGACAACAGCATTGTCACCATCATCAAAAACAAAAGAATAAACGATACATTACATATAATAAATTATACATAAATACATTTATTCTTTTGTCTGATGATGGTGACAATGCTGTGGCCGAAACATCACACACTATTAAATTATTTGGATTATGTCTTATTTTCTTGTGTTATAATCTATAATTGTGCTTTATCACATATACAATATAATAAGGTACAATTTGGATTGTAGACCACTAGCGGATGTACCCGGCTTCGCCCGGATTTTACCAGAGTAAAGGTTTGTCTAACAAACATTTGTTAAAACAATTCTCTATAAACTTATTTTAAAAAATAATAGATATATAATAGATAATCGATAAAGTGAACATTTTTTCCCGGTCCCTGTGTGCCGTGTCATGTTGAATTTTGTCTTTCCTAATTTTCTACATTACAAAATCATCGTTTTATCTAGTGAACATTTTTTCCCAGTCCCTTGAAAAATACTCGATAAGTTGAATAAAATCAATATTAATTGGTTCCCTCAGTAATTGGAAGTTAAAGGAATAGTATCTTTGCCTTGGAATTGTATCATTATTCTTGTCTCAAATAAATTGCCGTGTCATCTTGAGATAATCTTACTTTTGATAAATAATCTTTAAGATAATAAGCTTAGTGATAATAAAACTTATAGATAAAAAAACTTGTTATCATCGTCGCAATGGTGGCGCTGCTTGCGAGTTAAATCTACAAATCTGCAAATAACTCTAAGGATATTCAAGATATTCAAGAAATTATGTTTCAGAAACCTTCCCAGTACTATACTAAATAACTTCCCAAAGTTTCATGGCGTTCCAATGAGTGGTTTGGTCAGGCATAAAGGACAGACACACATACATTCATTTATATATATATAGATACACACAAGATAATAAGACCAAATCCAAATAAATAAATAGTGTGTGACGTTTCGGTAACAGCATTGTTACCATCAGACAAAAGAATTGCTGTGATATTTTCCTCATTTATTCTTTTATCTGATAGTAACAACGCTGTTACCAAAATGTCACACACTATTAAATTATTTGGATTTAGTACTTGTCAGGCAAAATAAATTTCTATAACCATCTAAGGACATCCACACTAATCAAAGAAATTCAATAAAGTGCCTTTATTTTTATTTGGCAAGAACCCAATTCCAACAAGAAGGAAATATCTCCTTGCTTCTCTCAACTTGATACCCCTAGATTCATATTACAGAAATGGTACAAACTGGAAGAGCATTTACTGTAGAGACACAAGTTGTACAGAGACAGGGTAAAACGACCAAATCCAAATAAATAAAGTGTGTGACATTTCTGTCCCAGCTTTGTCACCATCAGACAATAGTACTGAATGGTAAGAATGGATGAAGATGGTAACAACGCTGTTACAGAAACGTCACACACTATTTATTTATTTGTATTTGGTCTTATTACCTTGTGTTTATAATCTATAATCCAAATTGTGCCTTATCAAGTTGTACAGAGGAAGAAAGGTAAAAACTTACTTCTTCTTTGGTCCAGCGTTTCTGCTTCCGCGTTTTCTTGGTATAGGAGATACATGGCCGATAATCCTCAGCCTCACTGCTGTCTGACCAGGAGTTGCTGGGGGCATCACCAGGTCAGGTTGGAAGTTTGTTGGTACGTTGGAGGGCATAGAGTAGAACAACTTCCATGAGAGGACACTCATGCTAGAGGACACCTCTCTACAGTAGAACAACTTCCATGAGAGGACACTCACGCTAGAGGACACCTCTCTACAGTAGAACAACTTCCATGAGAGGACACTCACGCTAGAGGACACCTCTTTACAGTAGAACAACTTCCATGAGAGGACACTCATGCTAGAGGACACCTCTCTACTGTAGAACAACTTCCATGAGAGGACACTCACGCTAGAGGACACCTCTCTACTGTAGAACAACTTCCATGAGAGGACACTCACGCTAGAGGACACCTTTCTACAGTAGAACAACTTCCATGAGAGGACACTCACGCTAGAGGATACCTCTCTACAGTAGAACATACTCCATGAGAGGACACTCACGCTAGAGGATACCTCTCTACTGTAGAACAACTTCCATGAGAGGACACTCACGCTAGAGGACATCTCTCTACTGTAGAACATACTCCATGAGAGGACACTCACGCTAGAGGACACCTCTCTACTGTAGAACATACTCCATGAGAGGACACTCACGCTAGAGGACACCTCTCTACTGTAGAACATACTCCATGAGAGGACACTCACGCTAGAGGACACCTCTCTACTGTAGAACATACTCCATGAGAGGACACTCACGCTAGAGGACACCTCTCTACAGTAGAACATACTCCATGAGAGGACACTCCCGCTAGAGGACACCTCTCTACAGTAGAACATACTCCATGAGAGGACACTCCCGCTAGAGGACACCTCTCTACAGTAGAACATACTCCATGAGAGGACACTCCCGCTAGAGGACACCTCTCTACAGTAGAACATACTCCATGAGAGGACACTCCCGCTAGAGGACACCTCTCTACAGTAGAACATACTCCATGAGAGGACACTCCCGCTAGAGGACACCTCTCTACAGTAGAACATACTCCATGAGAGGACACTCCCGCTAGAGGACACCTCTCTACAGTAGAACATACTCCAGAGAGGACACTCCCGCTAGAGGACACCTCTCTACAGTAGAACATACTCCATGAGAGGACACTCCCGCTAGAGGACACCTCTCTACAGTAGAACATACTCCATGAGAGGACACTCACGCTAGAGGACACCTCTCTACAGTAGAACATACTCCATGAGAGAACACTCACGCTAGAGGACACCTCTCTACAGTAGAACATACTCCATGAGAGGACACTCCCGC